ATGGATATATAACTGTAGAGCCCGATGAAGAAGTTATTGAAAACAATTTACTTGGTTGGAGCCAGCAGAGGAATCCAGGATGCGTATTTCTTCCTGTTTTAGACTCGTCAACTGGATGCACTTGTGGAATGACGTTGTTTCTGATGACACTCAAACCTCGTACTCATCGATTCAAACGCCAAGGCGTTTTCCACTAGGCCAATGGGGCACGATAGCTAATAGAGGTCAAACAATTTGACCTAGAAAAACAATGAAGAACTACAAGCATACCAACAAATAATAACTACTCCCCGTTATACAAAAAGTGGCTGTCATACCTCAGTGGTCTAGTGGATAACGCTTTGGTATTTGAAGAGATGGATATGAGGTTCAAGTCTCAGTGGGAACAACATCACTTCGTAATGGGATGCAGGTACATTCAGCTGACGAGACCCAAATAGGACGAAGATACCCAACGAATAACAACAACAAGAGGCATCAATCACCATTAACCGGAGGAACCTACCTAAGCAGCATCGTTTCAACTACAGGTGGCACAGACGAGGATGTCAAAATCAGGATCGGAAAGACAGCAAGACAGGCTTTCATTAATCTGAAATCAGTGTGGATATCTACTGCACTCAGCACAAACAACAAGATCTGGATTTTCAACACTAATGTCGGTTAAGTCAGTGCTTCTGTATAGCTCAGAAACTTTGTGTGTCGCGAAAAGCATCTCAAACAAACTACAGACATTCATCAACAGCTGCCGTCTACGTTCACTCGATACTGAAGATCAGATGTTCAGAATAATGGGAATAAGCAACAAGGAACTGTGGCTGTCAACGAACTAACTAAGAACCTATCACCTAACAAATATTCAGAAGGAAGTAGGGATGGATCGGGCATACACTAAGAAGACTTATTGGAGACATCATGTGCCAGACCATGCTATCGAGTGGAATCCAGTGGAGAAACGACCAGTTGGGCGTTTGTTTCGAAGGAGACATGGAGGAGATCATGTGAGGAAGAAATGAAAGCTTATGGGCAGTCGTAGTGCCAGGATGAGAAGGCTGGAGAGAAGAGAGTGCAATGGAAGTATGCTATTGAAGCCTTATGTTCCACTAGTAACCGCAGGGAAAAATAATAATAATGTCTAATGAAAAATCCATTATCGACAGTATTACTTATTGCATTTCTCATGCACCAAAACAATATTACTTATTGGAGATATGTAAATAATTTATTTGTATAGTTAGTTTCAGAACATATCTACCGTTATTAACACTAGAAAATGCTGAGTGAAATCTGGTTATGATAGATGACGAAATAAAATGAATGCTCAATGGGTTATATATAAATACATTTAATCAGTACTCATATTGCACTCAGTAACTTTGTGTGTATTCATACAGTAGGCAATCAGTCTCAACTATTGCGTGAGGGCTAATAATGTTACCTGACTGACTAAACCTCAGTAGGTGGAGTGGGTCTCAAATCCCCAATCATTGATTGAAAGTCATCTCCTAAAATTGATATATAAGCTAGAGGTTGTTCCACTTAATGTAGGCTGGATGAAATGCTTAAATGACAGGACAAAAAAACAAGTCAATGAAGGAGCCAGGATATCTACTTAATCTAGACAATTGCGAGCGAGAAACAGTAGGAGTCTTAGTGGGGATAACATCACTCCGCACTGGGGTGCAGGTACATGAAGTTAACGAGTTCCAAATAGGACGAGACCCACGTTTTTAATTATATTACTACATGCTATCCATTATTAACATGAATTATCATATACGTTTATATAAAAGAAGTCAGGAGTTGTAGGAAATGCACTACAGTTACTGGCGTTTCAGACATAATGATGGCGACAAGGAATTCAGAACTCACGGTGTTACTATGTCAGAAGGGGCCACCAGGACAAATACTCAGTGATGACATTGGGTGGCAGTCACGCTGTCATGAATTGATAGAGGTTAGAAATATAGACCATTAGATTCCCACCCAGTGGCTCAATGGTAACATGCTTGCCGCGGAACCTGAAGCCCCTGGGTTCGATCCCTGGTGGGGTAGTGGGTGTGCACTGCTGAAGAGTCCAGTACTAGGACGAAACAGACACCCAGTGTCCTTAAGTTTCTAAAGTTTCTCCAAATGATGTTGGCCTATGATAAATACTGGGAACCCTAATGAAGATTCTTAGTAAAAGTTAGCATGAGAAGAGTCAAACAAAGGCCTACATATTGACTGAGAGAATCCTAATGGGGATAACATCACTCCGCACTGAGGTTTAAGTACATCCAGCAAAACATGCTTCCCAGATTCTTCTACTAACCATAACCAAGTAACTTATCATAATTTATATCCAGGCAATATCTTGGTGTCCATACAGGAGCCGATATGGCAATAGAAGTCGAACAATTCCATCCAGTAAAACAACGGAGAATTACAAACATATCAATAAATAATTGATATTTTGTGTAATGGTAACTAAAAAGCGAAAATGAACTGTTACGTATAATGGTAAATTGTTGACGGTAATTAGAGACAATAGGAGGAGAGGAAGATGGCTAAATCTGTAATAATAATAATGGAGCTATTAAAATATTAGTTATGGTAAATTGTGTGGTGGATGAAATGAAGAGTCTTGTTGTAATAAATGAGCTATACAAATGACCAAGGCAAAGAAAGAGGCTGTACGAATCTCTTCTGAACACACAGACTTGGCTTGTGTAGGTGGATTCCTATGGCTTCTGCTGTATGTAAAAGACGAACTCGCAGAGCATGGGTGAGGTGAGAAGGAATGTGATAAATAACTTTAAAGGCATTATGAATGTTAACTCGGTGGCCGGTGTCAATCAGATGAGAGAGTATTGAGCTTCGTGTCAATCTGGTTTCCCCCTTACTTATCCATGAAGGATGATGCTCGGCGATTCGACGACGGACTTGCCTAACTGTATGTCCAATGTAACTAGCTCCACAGGAGCAGTTGAACTGGTAGATGCACATAGAAGAGGAGAAGTCAGGGAGTCTGTCTTTAGTTCGCGTGGTCATCATCGGCCGGCTGTAGAAAACACAACATAACTTGGCGGCATTAAATGATCTTCTTATGGCGTTTCTTAAGCGTTTTGTCACAATTTCGCTGATGATGTCACATCGAAATTGTGGTCTTAGGAACAATGGTATCTTGGAGACTGTAGGCATTCTGGTTTTCATATTGGATGTGTTCATATTTTTAACCAGGAACGTTTCTGGATATCCATTACTACTGAGTAGATCGTGGATAATTTGAAGCTCTTCGTCAAAAGTATCATCTGAACAGATGAGTCTCACCCTATGGACCAAACACTTAACGAGATTTCGTTTATATTGCAAGGGGACGAAACTCAAGAAGTGGGTGTATTGACCTGTTAACGTTGGTTTCCGATACACACTTCTTTTTATAGATCCATCCACCCTCCTTGTCAATCGAACATCTAAGAAGGTGATGCTGTCGTCACTTTCTGTTTCAATAGTGAAGGTTATTGCTGGATAGACGCTGTTGAATTCATCCAGTATGATCCTTGCATCGTCCTCGTTATTCACAATCAAAAATATATCATCTACATAACGGCAATAAAATTCTAACCCGCTTATGATGCTTTCCAGAGGGCCATTTCTAATTTTGCTAAAAGAAATCCTCTAAGATTGGGCCTAGTGGTGACCCCATAGCGACACCGTCTGACTGTCCATAGAATTCCTTATTGAAGAGAAAGTGTACATTCATTGTACATCGTAAGAGAAGCTCTTTCAAGGTGGATGCCGTAATTCCAATTTCTATGTTTCTCTCGCTCACATTGTTTGTTTTATTATTATTATTATTATTATTACAGATTTAGCCATCTTCCTCTCCCCTACTGTCTCTAATTACCGTCAACAATTTACCATTATACGTAACATCTTTCTACCATAATTAATCTTTGCTTTAGTTAACTGTCTTAATTACCTGGTCAATAAACAGTAAGTACACTGATTCTTAAAAATTGTTTCGAGATCACATAATGGTTTATTTTATACTCTTACTCTACAACTTCTACTATCTCATTAATGAATATAAATCCATTTTACACTATGATGAAAATGAATGGTAGGTACGTGTGAGTTTTTCGACTATATGATGTACTGAATCGACCAGAAAATGTTAACCATTAATTATGATGTCAATACATTCCACAACTACGTGTTCTTCATACAATCTGAAGGTTCTCTGTTTTTTATTATAGTATAATTGTTTTTATATCATACCGTCGTTCATTGGAGCGAATTGATCGATCTCTGTTGGTATATAGGCTGCTGTACGGATGCCTCGATATTGCCTGTGTTTTAATTATATATATATATTAATGATGGATAGTGGCTAGCAGTGGAATCCAAGATGTGCATTTCGTTTTGTTTAGGACTCGTCACTTGGATGTACCTGCTTCTCAGTGAATGATGTTGTTCCCACTAGGACTCAGATTCAGAAGCGATCGTTTCAAACGCCGAAGTGTTATCCACTACACCACTTAGCCACAATAGCCACTTCTTGTGCGATGGTTATAATTTTTTTTAGTATAATTGTTTTTATATCATACCGTCGTTGACTGGACCGAATTAATCGGTTTCTAATAGCATACGGGCCCTTACTTGGATGCCTCAATATTACCCATGTTTTAATTGTTTATAGTAATGATAGATAGTGGTTAGCAGTAGAATCCAGGAATCCATAAACGTCGTCCAAGAAGTGGTTGTCGTGGCCCGTTGATGTAGTGGATAACACTTTAGCGTTTGAAACAATCGTTCCCGAATCTCGTTGGGAACAATATCACTCACCAGGAAACAGATACATCTGGCTTACAAGTCCTAAATAGGACGAAATGCACATCTTGGATTCCATTCATCGTTACTATCTGTGTGTGTGTGTGTGTGTGTTATCTCCTGAAATCATGACATATTCAATACTAATTCAAGTCAAATAACCCATTAAACCAGTATAAACTTACTTCTTAGTAGACTTGAAGATTTAACAATCGATTTATTCATTCCTTGAGATTTTATATTCTCACTGACACATCGTTGATGTTGTTTATTAACAGACTTATATTTTCCATCATATTTATTCTCATAATTCTCAAAGAAATGAGTTAATATTGGCATATCTGTTTTATTTAATCCAAGATTTTGATTTGATTCTCTTGCATTAAAAGAAGATTGTTTTGTTAGACTATTATTACTATTATTATTATTATTATTATTATCAACAATAACAACAGCATTTGAATAATTTCTTATAGGACATAATGGTGGTGATGATGAAGATGATGCAATACCTATAGATGATGATGATGATGATGATGATGAAGATGAAGATGAAGATGTTGAAGTGGAACAGAATGAAAGTGATGGTGATGTATTAGTTGTTTCATTCAATGTCCATGTAGAGATTGTATTCAATAGGCGGCAATTTTGACTACCAACATTATCCATAGGCATAGTTGATTTAATATTGAGTAATTCGTTACATTTTCAATACTTGGTAATAGATTTATACTTTTATGGATTATTTTATTATTATTATTATTATTATTATTATTATTATTAGGATCATTTCCCATGATATTACTTTCATTTACTTCAGTATAAGTAGTTAATCTTTTAGAATTAGTAACTATATAATCATTGAGATAGTTTAAATTCACATCATTCAACGAAGATTGTAAATTAGTCATTTGATTCAATACATTTTCATTACATGATATATTTTGATCAGGAATCAAAGAAACTTTTGAATGTTCCTCATTATTGTCCATATTTTGAACTAAAAAAACAAACAAACGAAACATCATTTACCTTTCATTGATTAAATTTTACACGATGTTTTTCTTTATAACAACTAAATCTTAAACTTTGAGGGAGTTGTGGAGATTTGGAATTATTTCAAGTTGCTATTCATTGTAGACTGACATCAGTTGAAGGAATAAAGGAAAAAACCTGGGAGCACTGGACAACTGTTTCGTCCTAGTATGGGACTCCTCAGCAGTGCGCACCCACGACCCCACCAGCAGGGATCGAACCCGCGACCTTCGGGTTCCGCGACCAGCGCCTTACCATTGAGCTACTGGGTCAGAATCCAATGCTCCATATTTCCACAACTCCCTCAAAGTTTAATTGAACTGGTGCTCATTGGTGACTAGCTTCGAGACGTATTCCCGAAGTTCCAATGACAAGTCGTGACGGTGGAGTCAAAGCCTGATGGCCATGAGGACAAATACTCAGTGATGACATTGGGTGGCGGTTGCGCTATATATCGTGAGCTAACAGAAGTTGGAAATATGGAGCATTGGATTCTGACCCAGTGGCTCAATGGTAAGGCGCTGGCCGCGGAACTTGAAGGTCGTGGGTGCGCACCGCTGACAAGTCCCATACTAGTGTGACGAAACAGCTGTCCAGTGCTCCCAGATTTCCTTTGTTCCTCCAACTCATGTCAGTCTACAATGAATAACAACTTGAAATCTTATTTGATTAGTTAATTAGTTACCATTACAGCCATTCGACTCTATGAGTTCTAAAAGGTTTGACAGTAGTACATACCTCATCTTATTTAGCTTATTCGTACAACATATCTATCGGGATGGTTGTATTATGAGGCATTAGATGAAGTTTAAAAATTCCTGTTATGTAAATTATAACAACATATATAAGCGAACAATATTGTTTTCAATTAGATCCTCTTCAGGCTTTACTGTAATTATTATTACTATTATTATTATTATTAGTCCCTTGGGTTCCTAATAGAACATAGGGCTTCAGGAGCACATCTCCAGTGACCTCTGTTCTCTGAGATCTTTTGAACCTGGTTTCACGACAGCCCAGAAGCACTCATTTCCTCCTCGCACAATCTCCTCCATGTCACCCTCACCTCGGACACCCAAATCGTCGCTTCCCATGGGGATTCCACTCGAGGGCCTGGCCTGACGCGTGCTGTCCCCAGCCGGCCTTCTCAGTGCATGCCCAATCCATCCCTACTTCCTTCTGTATATTTGTTGGGTGATAGGTTCTTGCTTCGTTGGTTCGTTGACAGCCAGCCACAGTTCCTTGTTGCTGATTCCAACTATTCTGGCCATCTGGTTTTCAGTAGCGAGGAAGCGTAGGCAGCTGTTGACGAATGTCTGTAGTTTGTTGGAAATACCTTTCGTGATGCGCCAAGTCTCTGAGCCATACAGAAGCAATGACTTCACGTTGGTGTTGAAAATCCGTATCTTGTTCCACATGCTGAGTGCAGAAGATCTCCACACTGGTTTCAGGCTAATGAACGCCTGTCTTGCTGTCTTTCCGATTCTGACTTTGACGTCCTCGTCCGTCCCGCCTGTAGTTGAAACAGTGCTTCCTAGATAAGTGAAGGAGGTTACTTCCTTCAAGTTTCTCCCGTTGACGTTTGTAAACAAACTTAACTGTAATACAAACAGTTTAATATACATATTACTTTGGGGGGGGGAGAGAGTTCTAGGGATTTGGAAGTATTTCAAGTTATTATTCATCATAGACTGAGATCAGTTGAAGGAACAAAGGAAAAAACCTGGGAGCACTGGATAGCTATTTCGTCTTAGTATAGGACTCCTTAGCAGTACGCACCCACGACCTTCAGGTTCCGCGGCCAGCCACTAGGTCAGAATCCACTGGTCCATATTTCCAACTTCTGTTAGCTTACGATATAGCGCAACCGTTACCCAATGTCATAGTTGAGTAACTATGATAAATATGTAATATAACAATGGAGATAATAATACCAATAATGATAATAGTGATAATCATAAAGTGATAACGTTTACTAAAGCACATGCAATATAGATGATGACAATGATGATAAGAATCAAGAAAACAGCATGAAAATGTACACACTCACATAATCACAACGCATCAAAAGCTTGTGAAAATAAGAGTTAGGTAATAATGAATGGGGAGGGAGTAAGTGGATAAACAAAGCCTACACGAATCCAGTAAGTATATGAAAGTGGTAAAGAATAAGAAAGGGGGTAGGAAAAGAAAAACTGAATAATAAATTTATTAACAAAGTATTCCCTGGCCAAGGGAGAGATCTAGCTAAGCAGAAGAGGAGATGGTTTACTCAGCAGATGTGTTGATAGGGAGACCACATCTATAGGTCAGTATACACATTTTATTAGTAATGTACCAATTCGGTACAAAGCAAACCTGATCAAAAGCCTCACTGACAGAGCACGAAAAATATGTTCCGATGTTCAAGTACTGAAGAAGTTAGATTATATCCATAATACATTGGTTGAAATTGGCTACCCTAACAGTTTCATAAGAAGACACATGGAGAAAATTAGAGGGAACAAACCTGGTACTATTACCATACGAAAGGAACCTTTGTTTATGAAATTGCAACTTCTGGTTGCATGTAGTATTCGGTCATTGTATTTTAGACTTAATTAGGCAGTTAAATGTTTTAATGCCAGGATGATCTCTCGCGTTTCTTAGTCTCTCCAGAGCCTGTTGAGATGAGGAGGGGAAAGTCTGTCAAATCTCATGTATATTGTTTCATCAGCAGGGTAGCAAATCTCAAGACAGAGTCTGAGATATCTTGTGATATTGGTGATAGTGTTATCTATAACTTTGTCAGTAAATATATATCCCAGTTTGTTTCCATAAACATGCTTCTCAAATGTAGTATATTCTTCTGTGAATAGCATTTATACTGGACTTTCTTGAAAGAAAATATCTGAAAGCCTTATTGTGTAATTTGGCATACATCTTAGGCAGAGCGCGTACAATACAGAAGTCAGAATTTAGCAGTGGAGCCCGTTTACAACCTTCATATATGCCAGGTTCATTTGCAAATGTTAAGTCTAGGGTGTTATCAAGACGAGTAGAAAAGTTGACTACATTTTCATGACCTAATGATACCAGAAAACTGAATTCATATGAATTAAAATCTCCACAGACTATAGACAAGGAACTACCCAGAATGGGAGCAGAAAATTCAGTGAATTCATCATCAAAAGTTGACAAATCTGAGAAACTGCAATCATGTGTGACATAAATAGTTGTTTATGGCGACATGTGTTGGTAATGCATCCAGTTTTATCGTTAGAGAAGATAAAGCATATATAGTTGAAGGTGGACCAGTTTATACTGATAAATATTTCTACACCTCCACCATATTTCTTCTTGGAAAAACTTCGATCTTGTCTACAAATTATCATTTAATGATTAGATCTCCATACTTCAAGGAACTTGTTTGCAGTTTTTCAACTTGGTTTTTGTAATATTTCTACGTTGTTCCAATAGAACTTGTGCTTCCGTCTACCTACATATTTTGAAAGAAAGGACAGTAATGGTTAAATCTGGAACACCTTGCTCTAAAACCATCATTTGCAAAATATACTTCATTTCCTTTTCTGCATCTTTCTTGATTTGCTCTTCATATGCCTGCATTGTCTATTGCATTTTTCTTCGTGGAATCCTTACCCATTGCTAGTAACTCTCTATGATCTCTGCCACCCTCTCAACATATACTACTTATATTCATTCTTATCAGCAACGCCTACTACCATATCACTTGACTGGAAGTTGATACTCATACATTTTTCGGTGGCTTACTCTACTACTGGATTCGTAAGTTCTTGCAAGTAATTTTTTAACTCTGTATTTATCTTTTCCTCTTTTAATAATGAATTACTCACTTTCCATAAGACGTTCTGCAGGAGTTTCACTGGTTTATGTGCTACACTGTTGGTGAATATAAGAAGTAATCGGTCAACAATTGCTGGTCAACCTTTGATTAGTGATAAAGTTGTTCATTTCGTAGGTTAATATAATTTTCCTGATGCATGTTCTGTTGTTAGGCATTTATTGATAAATTTCTTTGGATCACTATTGACTTTGAACCCTTTCTAACGGTGGTTGTCCTCTTACTTCTACATACAGTTGATTAGTGTTGCAATAAGTGTTCTCATGTACGTATAGTATTTGTACACAACTCTTTGAATGTGACATTGGCTTGTTATTGTCGTATTTCAAAACTTGGTCCGTGTTTGTCACCTTCCTATACACTAAAGTCTGTAAGGTTCCATCAAGTATTCTGACAAGCAAATCTAAGAATATGACTTCGATATATTCTTTCTCGTGAATTGAATACCCTCAAAGGATTGGTTGATAGAAATTGAACTTGTCTTGGAACAGACCTGTCTTCATGAATATCAAACTGAAATCAGAACAAACCTGAAAAGTGAATTAATCTAGTGCTCATTGGTGACCAGCATCGAGAGGTGATTCTCGGACTTCCAATGAAAAGTCGTGACCAATTTAGACAACCAGATCGAACATGAGGACAGTTACCCAACGATAACAGGAGTAGGAAATATGAACCACCGGATTCCGATCCTGGGGCTCAGTGGTAACGTGCTGACCGTGAGACCTGAAAGTTATAGGTTCGGTCCACGGTGGGACCATGGGTGAGCACTGCTAAGGAGTCCCACACTAGGTAGAAACAGCTTATCAGTACTCTCAAGTTTTCAATGGTTCTCCAACTGATTTCAGTCCATGATGAAAACCAACCCAAAGTCAATGAATCCTCACAAACTTCAAGAATGAATTGCAAAAGTGACGTCAACGTAACGAATCTAAATTTTCAGTCCGACCATTGGAATGATTGTTGATTCTGGCGGTCGTATTACTGGTTTAGTGTTCAGTCTGGATAATGATGAACCCATGAAACTCCTTTGGACGGGAACTGCATCATTGAACATAGATTGATTGGTTCTACCAAGTAGGTGACAGTAATTTCCGTATACT